TGTGTGTGTGTGTGTGTGTGTGTGTGTGTGTGTGTGTGTGTGTGTGTGTGTGTGTGCAGGAGCCCTTAGAGGTCACCATGGGCTTTGGATCCCCGGGGACTTGTGACAGGCAGTTGTGAGCCACCCCGTAAGTGCTGGGAACTGAATCTGGACCCTGTGCAGGAGCATCATGCAGTCTTAACCACCGAGCCATCTTTTCAGCCCTGTGATCACTGGGCTCTGTGGTAATTATATATTTTTGCATATACTCATGTATTTATTTGTGTGTGTGTGTGTGTGTGTGTAGGTGCATGCATGCCATGGTGTGCGGGGGACAGAGGCCAGAAAATATGTACCACACGCATGAATGAATGAAAGGAGGAAAGGAAAGGAAAGAGAGAAGGAGAAAGTGAGGTAAGCATTCATGTTCCTCGTTTCCGACCGCCTGCCTTCAGCAGACAATGTGATTGTTGCCTCACACTCCAGCGGCCATCCTTTCTGCATCACGATGGGACCGTGTCCCCTCAAGCTGTGAGACAGGATAAACCCTTCCTTCCTTCTGTCAGACATTTTCTCTCAGCAGTGAAAAAAGCAGCTGATACAGTATCTGTGATACAACTTTTTCATTGACTTTATAGGCCGGGTTGGGAGAACTAAGATCTGACACTCCGGAGTCTTCGTATCCATGAACATGGAATATCTCTCCGAGTTAATTCCGTTCCTACTTGCTCTCTTTCATCAAAGGTCTATGCTTTTTCTATATGGACGGTAGTTACATGTTGCTAGCTTTATACTTGAGTAGTGCATTTTTGGGAGGTGCTGCTATGAATGGCAGCATGATTTTAATTTCAAGTTGTTGGCATATCGGAAAGTGCTGTATCCTGAAAGACTATTGCTGTAATCACTTATTACTTTCAGGAGTTTGTTTTTATCCTTTTAGATTTTCCATATGGATTAACATGTCATCTGCAAAGATAATTATTTTCTTTCTTCTCCATCCATGTACTTTTTATTTATTTTATTTATTTTCTTTTTGCCTTATTACACTAAGACTTCCAGTATGATGCTGAAAAACTGGTGAGAAAGGAGAGTCTTACCATACCACTCTTGGCTGGACTTTCAAAAATATTTTTTTCTGTTATCCCTTGCCTTATGTAACTTTTCTTTTGTTTGTTAATATGTAAGGTTACATGGATTGATTTTTGATTATTGCATCATCCTTTGTATTTGAAATAAATTCTAGTTTGTTAGTGATATGTTTCTTTTACATATTATTGGGGGTCTGTTGCTAACATTTTGCTGAGTGATTTTCAACTTTTTAAAAAATTACATGTATTTGTTTATGTATGCATGCATGTATGTATGTATTTGTGCAGGAGTGTGTGACAGCAGGGTGTTCCTCCTATGTCACACTTCCTGAAATAAGAACTCGGAGACTGTATTATTTATGAATAAATGCCAAGGCCATAAGCTTTGGCTTGTTCCCCAACTAGCTCATAACCTAAATTACCCATTTATTCTATTCTATATGCCACATGGCTGGTTACCTCTCCTCAGTTTCATACATCCATCTTCCTCAGAGTCTGTGGGTAAATCTCTCTCTATCCCAGAGTCTTTCTCTTTCTCTCTCTCATCTCTGCCAAACTCCCACCTCCTATTTCCCGCCAAAGCTAATAGTCCATCAGCTTTTTGATGATGTATGGTGATGCTCCCATACAGTACACAAGAGATTCTCTCTGCACCAGTCTCTGTGTGCACATACGGGCCCACAGGATCAGACTCAGGCCTTCAGGCTTGGTGGCAAATGCTATAATTCACTGAGCTATCTCATCAGCCCTGTTTTTTTTTTTTTTTTTTTTTTTTCGTGTTCTTAAAAGATATTGAACTATAGTTTTCTTTCTTGTAATGGCCTTGTATTGGCTTTAGGGTGACTGGACTCGTTCAGTGAATTGAAAGTATTCCCTTGGCCTTAATCTTCTGGAAGAGACTGTAGAAAACTGTTATAGTTTCTTCTGTAAATATTTTAGAATTCCCCCCTTAAACTAATTCAGACCTTGTGCCTTCTGGTTTTGAAGGGTATCAACTTGTTGGTTCAGTTTCCTTAAGGACTATCTCCATTTCTTTTTCTATGTGTATGTATTTCAAGAAATGGACCCATTTTTATCTATATTATTAAATCTGTGGGCATATAATTATTTATAATATTCCTTCCTTATCCTTTTCCACAGAACCTTCCTTATCCTTATCCACAGACCCCACAGAGATATTCCTTCTTTTCTTTCTGATAGTCATTCGTGCTTTCTTTCATGTTTGTCTTAGCCTGGCTAGATTACCGACGATACTGATCTTTTCAAAGACAGTTACCTTTGGTTTTGTTGATTTTATCTATCTATTATTCTATTTCTGATCATTTTTATTCTTCGTTTTCTTCTTATACTTTAGTCTTAATTTGTTCTTCTTTCCTACTTTTTTTTCGGTGGAAGCTAAGATGGCTGAAGTTACTTGTTTCTTGTATGTGCATTCTATGGAGTTTTGAATGAGACTTCCCTCGTGGGGGGGATGGGCATGTGAATACTTGATTGAATGTGAATACTTGGTGTGGGGTTGGGGGCGGGGCATAGAAGGTGTGGCCCTGTTGGAGGAAGTACATCACTAGGGGTGGGCTTTGAGAGTAAAAAGTCTGGCCTGCTTAGAGTTTGCTCTCCCTGCCTTGTTCTTGTGGTTCAAGGTGTGAGCTCTTGTTTTCTGTTCCTATGCCATGCTGCTTGCTGTCATTCTCCCTGTCATAGAAATTCTAACCCTCTGGAACCATAAGACAAATAAACAGTTTCTTCTCTACATTGCTTTGGTCACAGCAATAAAAAGCAATACAGGTGTCAGTTAAATCTGGTTGATTGACAGCATTATTGGGTTCAACTGTGTCGTTACAGATTTTATGCCTGCTATATCTGTCACTCCTGATACAGGGGTGCTAAAATAGCCAACTATGATAGCTGAGTCATCTATTTTTTTTCTCTCCTGTTCTTTGTTTTCCTCCCCTGTATGTTTGTATATATATCACCTCTCTGGTGTTAGGTACATATACACGATATGTGTATATAGGTTGTTGGTTGTTACAGCTCCCTGTATACCGGCCTTTTATAATATGAATGTGCTTTTTTATTTATTCCCGAAGTCTGCTCTGTATGAAATTAATATAGTGGTTTCTGCCCTCTGTTGATTAGCGTTACCTTTAATTTCTTCATCTCTTTCCTTTTGCTCCATAGAACCAGAGCCGGGCATCCCCTTTCTTTCACCAGAAAGTGGCAGTGGGCTAGACCTGGGTATTTCCCTTCTCCCAGGCAAGTATGGCTTTGCTCACACCGCAGCAGACTGTGGTTTCTTTGAGGCCAGTTCTTATTTAGAACAGAATGAGATGGTATATTTCTGAACAGTTCCTTTTTCCTAGCTCTACCACAACAGGAAGAGATTTTCTTCTGATATTCACTATGGGGACCTAGTAGAGCGACCAGAAATACCCTCCCCCAATCAAGGTGATCCTCACATGATCTGGTCCCCTGGAATTGGTTTTTCTGTTTTGAATTTTGGCCTTTTGAGATGAGGTCTTGCCATGTAGCCTTGGCTGGCTTGGAACCCTGGTACTTACTGTACAGGCTGGCTTCAAACTTGGAGACCTGCATACCTCTACCCCCCAAGTGCTAGGATTACAGGGGGTACACCTGGCTCCCTGAAGTTCAACCCAGGTTTGTGCAATGAGCCTTCAACTGGATAATAGGTTTCCCATCCCAGAGTGTGTTTGTGCCTCCCCAGGCTGACTCTGACCATGAAGGGAAGAGAGCCTTTTTCAGGTGTCAGTGTTTCCAGAAACTTCTGGTGAGACAAAGGAAGAGCCAGGCTTTGAAACACCCAGACACACAAGAAAGGTTGGTCCTAAGGTTCTCTGAAAAAGAGCAGCAACACAAGTACAAGGAGCCCAAGGCAGAAATTGGTTCGCCATGGCATAGGCACTCGCTGACCGATGACTGGAGTGCCCCCCCATCTCTCTCATCGCCCTCACACCACTCATTACCGTATCACCCGGTACATGTGTTCACCAGGGTCATTGTTTCCCAACTCTGGAAAGAAAGTTCTTTGGCACATATCATTCTGTTGTTGCCCCAGACCCCAGAACAATGCCTGGCGTACTGTAAATGTTCACTGAATGGCTGAATTCCCACTCGGGGCTCTTGCCTATCCTGGTGGCCTCTAGAGCCTCCTACAGAGAAAAAAACCTTGTGCTCTTGCTGTGGTGACTGTCTTGACTGCCAACCTGACCAGAAGTGAGAGGCATTTGGTAGAGTGGTAGAGCATGGGTCCAGGTGTCTCTTTGAAGGTGGGCGTTTCCAGAGAAGACTGACGTGTTGAACAGCAACTGAGTGAGGAAGACGCAACCTGAGTATGAGCAGAACTGTCTAACAGTACAAATCCAGACAGAACAAAAGCAGAGCTAGCCTTCCCGGGGGAAACACAAGGCCTCTTGCTCTGTCTCTTGGTCACCACGGAATAGGCGGCCCTTCCACCATGATGCTCTGCCTTGCTACAGGCCCAGGAAGACTGAAGCCAGCAGCTGTGTTCTGAACTCTTTGAGACCACGAACCCAAAACCATCCTCCTCCTTTGAAGCTGTTTCTTTCTAGTGTTGGTCACAGTGATTAAGAAGCGTCTAACACACCTGGTCAGGCTTCAAGCAAGCTCACTTGCCCTGGGCGGCCAGGCTGTTCTTGGCAGGCGCACAGATACTCACCGGCAATGACAGCAAAGTCGGCCTCCACGTCACAGGCAATGACATCTCCATTTCTTATGTGCTTCTTCACGGCCTGCTTGACCTTGCCCATGCCAAGTTCATTGCCACCATCACCAATGCCTGAAGGAAGGAGAAACAGAGTCAGAGAACAGGGTGGGGCCTGTGTGGGGTTGGGATAAGACATCCCTTCCCCAGTGCTGGTCTCTGAATATGTTTCTGACAACCAGACGTTGGTTGTTCTTCGGGTCTTCTAGAAGCTTCTATAGTTAGGAATGGCTCTGACTTTGGAGCTCACTGGAGTGGGATCCTGCCTTCTGTTAGGTCACCACATCTCGACACAGGTGGGGTGCCTTGGGCTCTGACATGTCATCAGGCCCCCTGGAGACACTCAGTAGCTCCCACACAGTGGCTGCTCTCACTGCGCTGTACCGTGTGACTGGCCAATATCCCACTGGCAAAGGTGAACTGGGTCTTACCCTAAAGCATGATAGGAAGGTTTAGAGTTAAATGAATCCCATGCATACACTTCATATCCTTTAAACAGAAGCCTTTAGAGCAGTGGTTCTCAAACTGTGGGTCGTGACCCCTTTGGGTGGGCGGGGCAAATGACCCTTTCACAGGGATCGCATCTCAGATATCCTGCATGGCAAATATTTACATTACTATTCATAACAGTAGCAAAATTACAGTCATGAAGCAGCAATGAAATTAATTTTGTGGATGTGGGTCACCACAGCATGAGGAACTGTGTTAAAGGGTCCCAGAGTTAGGAAGGCTGAGAACCACTGTTTTAGAGGCTAGCTGATGGGAGAGGAACTAGACCATCTCAAGCATTGGAGATCAGATGGAACCAAAAAACTCAGTCCACTGTGAGCGACTGAACACCTTCCATTAACACCCGAGGGTTTTGGGTTTGTTTGTTTGCTTTCTCTGTTTCCACCCCGACCATTTTTCTTTTCTCAGAACAGTTTCTAGATTAGTGACAACCGGTTTGGATGACAAAAATAACTCGACCACCTAGCAGAATAAGGAGTAGTTAGATGCCAAGCAGGGCCCGTCCACATGCCGTGGGGGAAGGGATGTTCCCGAAGCTTCCCGGGCTCTGCCTGCTAATTGCTGCTTCCTTCTCCAGTGCTGGTGACGCCTCCCTGCCTCCCCCCAAGCATTGTGCCCTTTACCTGCCCAGCCCAGAATGGCAGGAAGTGAGAAACCAGGCTAGCAGACCACACTGCGTGCGCCCCACCCACAGCCTCTTCTGGGAAAATCTGGGGATTTGCAGAAAACTTTCTAACCATCCCAGAAGGTTTTTCATTCACTCCTCAAAACCTCAAAAGTCAGAGGGGACTAATGGGTCTGGGAAACACTGGGAGGCTTGGAGAATAACAGGCACAGAAGGACAGACACGCTTTAATTACCCCAGGCTTGCCCTGCGCCCTGCTCTCCATACAAAGGAAGGAGAGCTGGCGTCCTTGTCCTTCGGGGACTGGCACAGACATAACAGCAAGGTGATTCTTTAACAGTAGGGACTGGGTGGCCGCGCTTTGCTCAAGATCCTGCAGGCAATGCTAATTAGCTGGCCAACTTCAACCTCTCTGGGCCTCATTTTCTCATTTATGTCCTTCCGACCTCACAAGGTTTTTGAGTGGGCTATATTTATATATGTTTAATGGTTGTGAAAGTTCTCGGAAGAAGTAAAAAGTTCAGTACAGAAACAAATTATCACAGTGTATTATTAACAATAATGGTCCACTCATCTCACATTCAGTATTGCGTTTCTTCGAATGACACAGGACGAATTCCATCCTGTATGATCCAAATAGTGCTTCATGCCTCGATTTCATTATCGTTAATATTTCATGATGAGTTAATCACTTCTGAGTGGGCAAATCAAGTATGTTCCATATGTGTCACTTCTCTTTCTGGTTTCTAAGAGAATGTTGCATTTCTTAACAATGATGTCATTCATGTCTAGACTGGCTGAAATAAACAAATCCCAGTTTTGGGGGGTTGGAAAGCAATAGTGACCATGTAACCCTTTCCCGGCCTGTGCTCAAAGGTCAATAAAAGATGCTTAGCAATAACTGTTCACGTTGAATTCTTACTGCCACCACTTACCAGTTGATGAGATTCCAGGAAGCTTCCGTGCGGCGAGGAAAATGTCATCAATGGGGTCAACTAAATGCTTGATGTTCATCTTCCTCCAATTGTAGTAACTGCCATCAGCGGCCCTTCCTGCACGCTCTATGGCCACCAGATGGTCAAATCTGCCGGGAAGCAATGGTGGCAAGTCTTTATGGGGAAAATGGCAGCTTCTCTGGCTCCACCCTTGCATGTCTCTGTGAGCGACCTTTGGTTTCTTAACTTGGCTCCTTTCATCCTATGGGACTGACTGAGGACCCACTTTGTGCTGGGGACTCATCCCAGGGTACTAACTCACTATGTTGCTGGTTGTGGGGAGGCATGGCCCAGCGCTGCCACCAGAAGCCCAGGGAGATCCTGGGACCCCGACTCAGGCAAGCTGGCTCCTTCACTGCATTGACTAACGACATCGCAAAGAGAATTTCAGGACAAGTCAGAGCGAAGCCAAGTTAGCCAGTCTATTGAGAGACAGGAGATAGCACACACTTCAGACTTAAGTGGGGGTGTTCATCCTCCCCATCCCTGACACCCTCACCGGAAGAGGACAGTACACACCCCAGACATGGATGTAGGGCTTCAAGAGTGAGAGCAGCACTCAGGTATTTTTAGTGGCAATATACATGATATATACATATGGTTTTGTGGCCAAGTTGTAGAGCTCAAAGGGTATAATTACAAGAAGGCTTAGCGATTAAGCAAAATTTAAAAGTTAAGGGAAGGATGTGAGCTAATTTACTTTTTTTTTTAATTCCTTTTGTAAATGGTGATTTTATTTTAGAAGATCTACCACTTGGATGAATCGAGCATTGTGTGTGTGTGTGGACTGCTGATACAGTTAAACTCAAATCCACGAACATCGTCGCCCTGAGTAAGCAAGCCTTCCGCTTGTTTTGGTTTTGGTTTTCTTCCTTGAGATAAGGTCTCAAGCAGCCCAGGCCTCTAACTATGCAGCTAAGAGTGACTTTGCACTTTCACTACTTTTAAAGAAGTTATTGCTATTACTTCTGTGTATGGATGAAATGTGGGGGGTGTGTGTACCACAGCAAGGGACCTTATGTGGATTCTAGAGCTCCAACTCAGGTCGTCAGCCTCGGTGGCCAATGCCTTTACCCACTGGGCCATCTTGCAAGCCTCTGAATTGGTAAAAATTACTTATTATTCTCACTGTGTATCTGTGTCTGCGTATATGTGTGTATGTGTGGGTAGGTGCATGTCTGAGTGCAAGTGCCCATAGAGCCCAGAAGAGGGCGTTAGATCCCTAGATCTGGAGCTATAGGTGGTTGTGGGCTGATGTGGGTGCTCGGAGCCAGTCTGGATCAAGAGCAGTTGGTGCTCGTAACTGCTGAGCCAACCGCCGAGCCCCACTGGTGCCTTTCTGGATTTTGTCCGGAAGACTCTGGAATGAAGGCTACTTTCCTTTCCCAAGTCTCCTTACTCATCTCCAACTTTCTATCCCGTCTCAACAATCTGATAAACAGCCACTCGGGTCTTCTGCGATGGAATAGTCAGAAGCTGAAAGTCAGGGTAACTGGGTGTCCAGAAAGGTGTCGCTAACACCCGATCCAGTGCTCCGTGTATCCAGCGGGTGGCCGGTCACAGTGAAACCAGTGTTGGCTGCTGTGGGCCCATTGTACTCCTTCCCAACTTCTCCTTCCCATCACAGACATTAAATGATTGGAAATGAATTTGAAGGACAGAAAGAGAAATGAACGGAGCATGACATGAATTCCACAGGAGACTAAGTGGTAGAGAAATGAGGTCACAGGTGGCATGGTGATCAAGCGGCTGTGGGGTCTTGTCACGCAGGGCACGCTCCGCGTCTCCCTGTCACTGGCCCTGGGGGAGTTGTTTGGTCTTTCTAACCACACATTGCCTTTCCACACCTCTGCAGGACACCAAGCATGCATCTGCCTGCAGGACACCTCCAGCATTGACGGGGTTAAAGAAGGCACTTGCCGTGGAACCCGAACCCGCAGCTACTCAGTGCTCAGTGTCAGCTGGGCTTGCTGTGGGTACCTTTCTCAGCACGAACGTTTTAATCTTGTTTTTCTTTCTTTTTTTTTTTTTTTTAATTTCTGTGCATGTGTGTGTGCCAGCTTGTCTGTACATGCACCATGTATATGCGGTGTGCGTGGAGGCCAGAGAAACTGTTAGATCCCTTGGGACAGAGCATCTCAACCTTCCTGAGGCTGTGGCCCTTTAGTACAGCTCCTTGTGTTGTGGTGACCCCAAATCCATAAAAGTACTTCACGGCTACTTCATGACTGTAATTTTGCTACTGTTATGGATCGTAATGCAAATATCTGCTATGCAGGCTATCTGATCCGCGACCCCCAGGTTGAGAACCGCTGCCCTAGGACTTGAGTCATAGGCAGTTGTGAGATAACCAGAGTGCATGCAGGAAGCTAAACCGGGTCCTGTGTAAGAGCAGCAAGTGCTCCTGACTGCAGAGCCATCTCTCCTGCCCTGTTAGCAGGATTTTTTTTTCTTTTTTTGATAATCCAACACGAGAACCCAAAACTGCCACTTTCACATCTCTAAAATGCCCCCATGATGGAATCCTTCAAAATCTCAACTCGATGATGGAACGGTAAGGCCATTCTTCAACAGGTTAAAAACAGACTTCTCATAGGATCCAGAAATTCAGCTTCCGGGTGCATGCAGGGAAGAGCTGAAAACAGGGACTTAAAGAGATGCCTGTCTGCCTGTGTTCTGAGCAGCGCTACTCAGAACAGGCGACGTGTGTGTGTGTGTGTGTGGGGGGGGGGGTGGTCATAGAAGAACAAACCGAAAGAGAAAGCAGCAGAGTGCATGGCACACAGCTCATCTGAGTCCTGTAATGTTGAGAGTCAGTATTGGTTTTTAGATGTCTATCTCAGTTACATGCATGTACTGATCTGTACAAAGCGTCAGTTGACAACTGTAATAATCCTGTTGTTGCTAGCTTTGTTTCTTATTTTGTCAGGTTTGGGTGCTATGGATCTATTTCCAGACATGCTCTACGGGGCCCTAAGTAGACCCTGATATACCCGACCTCATGTCTAACATAGACCTCATGTCTAACATAGCCCCTCAGAACCCTGGCTTCCTGGGCTGGTGGCTTTGTTTTCCTTGATAGGCGGAGGAAGCAGAAACCCTGTCAGCAAGGTTACAAGGGTGCGATTTTCCCCTCCCCCATACACTCCATCTGGGGTGCCATATACATACCTAGGAGACTTGGGGTCCCCATCTTTGCATAAAAATGCCCGAGCATCTTCCACTGATCCTCCTTGGTAGGTTAATATGGGGACTGGCGTCTTCAGAACCCCTTGAAATAAAGACAGAGGGCACCCACATCAGTGCTGGGGTTGCAGGGTGCTTCCGAAAAGCATCTTTGGGCAGTACTGTAACCGTTACCGAGTGGTGTCCTTCCATAGGACACTTCGATAGAATGCAGAGGATGGTAGGTTTACTTTTAGTCCTGACTAAACTCCAGAGTGGGCGGGGCTGGAGGGTGGACCTGGACCAGCATCCCCCTGGGGATGCTCGGTGTATAAAATGCTCCATGACACTATGCCAACAAAGGGTCTGTTCTGGCCCACTGCCAGCAAGAGTGCTGTGTACTCATCTGGATGCCCACAGGGCCGTGCGCCAGGCGCTTGACGTATATGCTCTCATTTAATTTCCATAATCCGGCTCCACATAAAGTGATTATTATTTTCATTTTATAGAAGAAGAAGCCTGAATCTCAGAGATACCAAGGAAGTTGATCAGAGTCAGATATAGTATACATTTTGGCAGCACAGCTCCAGTTCTCTCTTAGTTTAATTTCTGTCAGTGTGATAAAACACTATCACCAACGGTGATTTAGGGGAAGGAAGGGTTAATTCAGTTTACAGTGCTAATCTGCAGTCCACCACTGAAGGGAAGTTGAGGCAGAAACTCAAGCAGTTACATTACATCCACAGTCAAGAGCAGAGAGAAATTAATTCCACACACCGCCTGCTTGCTGCTAGCTTCCTCCTCTCTTACACTGTTACCTAGGGAATGGTTGTGCCCACAGTAGGCTAGGTCTTCCCACCTAAATCAGCAGTCAAGATAATTCTACACAGACATGCCCCCGGGCCAACTTGACCTAAATAATTCCTCAGTTGAGACTCCTTTGTCAGGTGACCTTAGGTTGTGGCCAGCTGACCTTTTAAAACCAGCCACTAATTCCTTACCCCCAGACCTTTCCGGTTCGCTCTCTGTATGAACATCCCTTCAGAGGAGACCAACAGCAACTGAGGCAGAGTCCCAGAGACTTGGGTTTGTGCTTGCACAGTGGTGATTTACAAAGCAAAATCGATTTTTAAAAAATAACACTTTGTGATTACACAAACAGCACGTGTTATTTTAGACTGTGTGGAAAATATACACATATCTCCCCAGGTGAAATTCTTTTTCATTAGCCTCTCTCACGGCAGTCTGAGGAAGAGTCCTGGCTTATTCACTGCCCATGGCAAATCTTCAAGCGAAAGGAAGGATGGCCGAGAGAGCATCCTGGGCAGTGTCTCCTGACTCAGGACTTAGAGGCACGTGGCCTTGGGTAAGCCACCTTGAGCGCCTCCTCGGTAAAGTAATGACCGCTTACTCACATGGCTGGGGTGCCCCATGATGGCCTCCGATACCTGTCAGTTACCTGGCTGGGTCTGGTGCAAAGTGGGTGCTAAGTAAAGCCACTCCTCACTATCCTGGTCGCACTGGGTGACAGATACTAGTCAGGGGGTGGGTACCAGGGAGCCTAGACAGGTAACATGAGCCACGTGTCTGAGAAAGGACACACAAGACCCCTATCAAGCTGGGCTAGCTGGGTTAGGGAAACATGGCTCTGTCTACTGAGCTACACAGTACAGTTCTTTCTAGGCTTGTGCCCAGGAGAGGGTAGAGGGGTCTCTGCCATTTTTCCTCTGGATCGTTTCCGAGGCCTCAGTAAAAAGATTGATACAGCTTTCATGGACAGGTCCTGCTGCTTTGCCTGCCTCATCCAAATGTTACGAAAGTTTTGTTCCTGGCTGTGGCAGTGCACAGCTTTGATCCCAGCACTGTCATGAGGAATGGAGGCAGAGGTAGGAAGACCTCTGAGTTCAAGGCCAGTATGGTCTACAGATTGAGTTCCAGGGTGACCAGGGCTATACAGAGAAACCCTGTCTCAAAAAGACCAATCAACCAAATAAATAAATATAAAACATTCTGCAGAATCCAGTAAAGCAACTACACCCTCGTTGGAATTGTGCAGGCCAGCAGCTCCGAGTCCCTGAGGGCAACCCAGGTGAGCTCTAGGAGAAAAGCAGGGCGCATCTCTCTCTCTCTCTCTCTCTCTCTCTCTCTCTCTCTCTCTCTGGAGAATTAATGCTAAACATAGCCACAGAGAAGAGTCAGGTGGCACCTTCTGTCAGCCCTGGAGCAGAGCTTGACATGGCCACCTGTCCCTTGGTTTCCTGTTCTCACTGGCTGGTCCATCTACTATTCCTTGAAGCCACCTTTCCCTTGTTCTCTGGATGTGAGGGGCCTCAAGGCGCAACTCCGGCTTTGTCGCCGCTTATCCCCACAGTGGCCTCCCCGAGAGCTTCCACTGTAGAGGTCACCTCGTAACTGGTCTCAGCTTCCTTCTTCACAAACCATACAACCTGCGTCTCTTCTTATAACATCTGGTTGCCCTGCAATCGAGCCCTGAGATGGGTTTGCTTTGGAGGTGTTTTCTTTGGAGGGAAATCCAAGAAGCTGAGGCAAGGGATAGGGAAAGTGAGGAGGGGGTCTGTGCATTTTCAAGATCACTCCTTTAAGAATTGATATTTCATGTTCACTAATATCTATGTATCTCCAAGGAGGCAGAGAACTTAACCTCTAGATTCTGTCCCTACTAGGCTGAGGGTGTCACAGGGGAATCACCCCTGCTTTTCTGTATGAGTGGGTTCCCATAGCTTTGGACCCCCACGGCACTGACTGGTGGTAGGGACTGCTCATCGTGTGGACAACAATGATTGATCAGAACACTTGGACTTTTTGGAACCTCAAACATCTTTCTCAATAAAATGAGACCAGCATTGTTTATTACAAAGTTGTTCTGAGCTTGGAGCTAAAAGATCCCATCACAAGGACACGTCCTGGCACTGGGTACATAGCCGAAGTCCACACATTGATTTCTCCCAGTCTCATAAAGACCTGCTGGGGAAATGGCTTGGGCCCATGTCACTGCTCACCTTGCTTAACGGCCTCTTCCACAATCTTCATATGTAAGTTCAAGGCTCTCTGGTCTACCACCATGGTGGCCTCCTTCCCCAGAGCCTGCAGGAAGGCAGCTAAAGCGATGGCTCCCGGTGGGCCATCTGTTTCCTCTGGGGGCTCATGATTAAAATGAGTGGGGAATCCAGTGGTGACCAGTACTGAGCGGGCATGAGACAGTGACAGAGCAGCCTGCAGCAACTCATCTTTAAGTAGCAGATGCCGGATCCCTCGATTTCCTAAAATCACAAAAATAAAGTCAAATCTAGATGATTCTGTTTGAGGCAGAAACACTGACAGTTTGGGTTGGTCTGGGTCCAGAAGTCGTGTGGAGGGATGTGGCAGATGGAGCTGTTCACAGGGATGCATTCTTGGGTTTCTGCCTCCCACCTCTCTCTTAGCTTGGGTGGCCACAGGACTGGCTCAGTCTCACGGCGCATGAAGGAATGATGGGGGACCTTTTGAGCCAAGTCTCGTATTTCCCCCGTGTTTCTCCAAGCACACCTTCCCTCTTCTTGTCTGAAATGTTGATAGCTATATCATGGGATGATGGTAGAGCTTCTAGGACCCCAAGTGGCTGGTTAGAGAAGAGTCTTTCCTTAGTGACCCAGAATACTCTGAAGACATGCTGTATTCTATTACATGGAGATGGCATGGCATTTGAGCAAAACATGTTGAGGCTCATTTGTTAGACTAGTTCAGCAAAACCTAACTAATAAAAGCACACACACACACACACACACACACACACGGAAGAAAGGAAACAGGACACATTTATTGGAGAGCCTTCCCTACAAGCACAAAACAGGGTCTGAGGTGCAATTATTCCAGGAAATGGTAACCCCAGAGAACACAGCAGAAATGAGACCCAGAAACCCACTAAAGATTGAGAGCGAGTGAGTTAATCCCCAAGCCAACTAGAACTCTGTCCTGCCTGAGACCCACTAGGAGGCCATGGAGGAGGCACACTAGAATTGCCCTACCGAAGGACCAGAGGCTACCCACGCATCTGTCCCCTGTTGGAGGAAAGTTGTTCAATGGGGGGTCGACTTTATTGTACTCTCCAGAGTGTGCCTCCTAGAATAGACATAGGCTGTCCTCTAGTGGAGGAGTTGAGCAAGTGGGGAGCCATCCATTGCCTCTGTACAGGACCCCAGTTAGTCCCCGGGGACACAGATGAGGGAGCAACAGCTAGTGCTAAGGTTGTCCAGCTGGGCCCTGCTGAGCAACACCACTTCCTGACTCTTGTCCACATCGTCCTCCCTCTGTCTACCCTCAGGGCTCTTCCACATAAGTGCCATCCGAAGGTAGAGGGTGACTCAGAACGTCCACCCTAGCTGAGCTGCCTTCAGAGAAGGCCAAAGGGATGTGAAGGGGCGTTGCCTTGCAGCTGAGGTTCTCAGAGAGCATGAAGGATGCTGGGCGGAGATTCTTACTGTGGAGGCACTGCTCCAGACTGAGGTGGGAGTAATTCCAGTACAGGACCTGGCACATAACAGCTGTGCATCCTTGGTGCTATATCTGGGTCTTCCTACATGGAAAATGGGAGGGGAGCCCAGATGGAGGAGGTCTGTGTGGACAGGGACTCCCCACCTACTGGCTCTAAAGGATTCTGGTATTTTAAAAAAGTGTGGGTAGTTAGTTGTATGTGTTTGTGTGTTCTCGTGAATGTGTGTTTGTGTGCATGTGCACAGAGAGGCCAGAGATTGATGTCACGATTCATTCCTCGATCCATTTAATTTGATTATTTAAAAAAAAAAATCTGGAGGCAGGGTCTCTCACCAAACCCAGAGCTCACTGATGTGTGTAGGCGAGGCTGGCTGGCCAGTGAGCCTCAAGGATGCCCCTATCAGCCTCCTTAGTTCTGGGAACCCCAGAACACACTGCTGTGCCCTGCTTCTTATGTGTGTGCTGGGAACTAAACCCAGCTCCTCTTCCCGCTGACACGGCAAGCATTTAGCTAACTGAGCCATCTCCTCAGGCTCCAGGAGTTTGGTAATTTTTATCGCTTCTTCACTTCCACACATTAATTCTGAAACTTAATTATATTAATTAATTAGATTAATTTTTTTTGAGACTGTGTCAAGTACTGGTCTTGAATTAATGATCCTGCTGCCTCAGCCTCTTAAATGCATGGGTCAGAGACGTACAATACCACCATGGCTATTTTCATGTACTTTCTGATGTTCCTACAATGAACATGAAATACTGATGACAAGACAGAAGAAGAACATCAGCATTTTGTACATCACAATTGGGTGTAATGTGTTTCATGGAGTATGGTGAGTGTTAAAGAGAGAGCAAGGGGAAAGAGTTTGGGCAACTGAAAGCTGTGCACATATATGATGATTTTATTACCAGTGTGAAAACTATAAATCGTGCACCCTCCAGACACCTCAAACGCAAGACAACAGCCTCTTAAAAATGACTGAGTGGCTCTATTAATAAGCTCGGTAAGTAATGCCCAGCACACAGCGCACAGCCATCGGTCTTCCATCTGCTTATTCGAGTGGGAATGAAAATCATCTATTGTTCCTGCAGACTGAAGATGGCTTTTCATAGACAGAATCATCGCATCAGACAGTCATGAATCTGCCTCCTCCGGGACTCAGCTGCAAGGCTCGCCTCAGTCTGCAGGAGCGCCTAGGGGAGGCACTGTGTCTGACCTCTCTGCTCATCCTTACCAGGCAATGGGTGACAGAGACAGCAGTAAATCAACTGTCAGCTCCTTCTTCTCATCTCAGAGCTAATTGCACAGTTAATAATTCATCTTTCCTCATGACACCATGTTAAGGAGGGGAGCCATCAGCTTGGGTAAGGCTGTCTGGCAGGGAGAAACTATTATGGAAATATTTTAAATATCTACCCAGGAAAACGAGGAAGTACTCTTTTTTTAAAACTACATTTTAAAAGTTATATTTGCATGGAAGGTGCATGTGGAGGTCAGAGGACAACTTGCAAGAGTTGATTCTCTCCTACCACATGGTCTTGAGGATCAAAACTAGGGCACTGGCCTGCTGGCAAGGTCTTTATCCACCACTGAGACATCGTGCTAGCTCTGGAACACTTTTTAATTGCCCAGGCAGGAATATGACAAACCACGGAAGACGCCGTGTACACCTGCCATTAGCATGTCCTCAGAGGTGTCTCTCTGATGCGTTTGCTATGTGTTTATATGTCAATAAACCTTAGTCTCTGCAAAATGGTGAACCAAGAAGTCAATGAGCCAAGAAAAAGCCACGCCTGGTAGTTTATCAGGAAGCTTAGTGATTATCATTTCTAGCTCCAGGGTACAGAAGTAATCACCTTTAAGGCAGCTGACCAGCAGGGGTCAATAGGACTCTCAGGGGTTGTCGGACCCCAGGGGGTCTGTTTCACAGCACTGTGGGGGCACTGATCTCTTTAGGCAGTTCTCAGAAGCAGCTCTGTCTGGTTCCTGGGAGTCTGGCTCTGGGAGTCTCCTCCGTGGGCTGGCTTCATCTCTCTGCACTCCCTGGGTTTACCCTTACTGATTCCAGCATCTGTTTGGGAAGTGGGAATCAGTGGGGCATTGGGAGAGGCCATTTAAGTCCTGGACATTGCTAGAGATTTGAGGTATGGCTATCCTCCTGTTTTAGAAACACAGCTCATGAGAAGGTACAGGAGGAATGGGATATGAACTAAAGAATGCGAGAGAACTTAACTGCCCAGGCAAGAAAATGACGCACAACTTATATTTCAGATTCTAATTTATAAACATGTATAAATCATGGCCGACAGAGTCAGCAGACAAGAGTTCAATATCTTCCCCCAACTGCCTATTGGGAATGAGAACTGGGTATTTACATTTTTATTTATTCACGTTACATCCCTGTAGTAGCCCCCTCTCTCCTCTCCTCCCAGTCTCACCCCTCCTCGTTTCCTCTCTCCTCTCTCCCCTACTCCTCAAAGAAGGGGAGCCCCTCCCCATCTCAGCATATCAAGTCACATCAGGACTAAGTGCATCCTCTTCCCCTGTGACCTGGTGAGGTAGCCCTGCCAGGGGAAAGTGATGGAAAAGCAGGCAACAGAGTCCACGTCAGAGTCAGCCCCTAGTCCCCTTACTAAGAAACCCATATGAGGACTGAGCTTCCCCTTGGCTACATCTGTGAGGGGCCTAGGTCCGGTCCACACACCATCTTTGGTTAGTGCTTCAGTTTCCACAGGCCCCCCCTCGGCTCATTGGTCAGTTCATTAGCTAGTTAGAACTACTAGGTACTATATCTTTTATTTAAAAAGGCAAACATGTTTGCCTTGCTCACAGGCTTTATGTTAGTTGCCAGTGTCTTATGGTGAATAGCTGGATAAAAAGATATGGAGTTTATGGAGGGTCTGAGGATATAGGAGTTTAGGTTGTGAGAATCTAGAGTGTTGTTTGGTCTGGGAAAATGTTTCAGGGTTGATAAATGCAAGAAAGATTGGAGAGTCTAAATAAGTGTTTTAAGGTATATAAATATGAGTTGTAAAGATATAAAAATTATTTAAGGCATATTAAAAATGGGAAATATTTTAGATTTCTCCCCCCCTCTTTGCTACTATTGTGCTTATGTTGTTATAAGATTTCAAAAGTTCAGAGTTTTGACATTGGTCAACAGAGTTCTGATAAGTTGATGGAGCACTGACTGCTTATTATTCAGTCACAAGCTTGAGATTTTAATTTCCTTTGGTTGTCTTCTGGAAATAGACTTAAAGGTGCTTCTCATCATGTTTAATGTGTATATATGACCAAAAAGCCATAGCCTTCACTATGGTATTCTTAATATCTGCCATTCTTGTTAAGAAAAGTTCAAGCATCCAGGGTTTAGCAGTAAAACCATTAATGTATTTCTGCCTAACTTTCCAGAGTGATGTGGAGATGGAGGCTAAAATTAGATACTGAGTGTACAAAAAGTGGCTGAGCTCCACTGGTGGATGATTACTAACAGCTGTGCCCACAGAAAAAGTGTTGGAGTTTCAGACCGTGGATACACTTAAGTTGTTTATGTGCTATTCACAGAATGTTATTTGCTGATTATGTTACTTCTCTTGAGGTTTTTTTTTTTGTTATATATATATATTTCCTTTTGTGTACTAAGAATTCATGTGAGTTCCAGAAAAACCAAAAAGTCATGAGACCTGGATCTGGCATAGCTCAAACAGACCCTAGATGAGTTTTTACCCTGGTCTTGGGATTCCTCACTTTTCCCATTTAATAGACAAATTTTAACTTCTGTTTCTAGTATAAATTTGTCTCAGCAGATTTGCACCCGGATCTATCCTGGGATCAGCCATGGATGGTGAGCTGAAATCTGGACTTGCTGGAAACTGACATGATTGCTCCCTACCTCTTCAGGTGGATCAACCAACCAGACGCTTTTGAGAGCTGTCTCATTACCCAACCTTTGACTGGCATTTCAGCCTTTCTAGTCCCTGATGTCAACGGTCCAATTCTCAAGCTGAAGCAATTCTAGAAGACAGACCTCTGGCCCTTCGTCCCACTTACAGGCTGAGGTGCTAAGTCAAGGGGGGACTTCTTGAGACAAACCCCCACTCTACAGCTGCTTCATGATTGAAGCAGTTACTAGAAGAAGGGAGGAATGAAAGAATCAGACTAGCCTTATAACCTATATTTTTAAATTTTAGGCTCACTAAAGTCTCTCAGTACTTTTCCAGAGAACAGAAAAATGTAACAGCCCCTGACCCTAGCCATCTGCATGGGCAGAGATAAGGAAATGGGCAAACAAAGACCCTCACCCTGTTGTAAAAGATTAACCAGGCCTGTAATTGTGAGATATTGTTACCTAGCAACTGACCCAGATGGTCCTAGTTCCCCTCCCAACTAGCTCCTGACCTTTGACCAAAGGCATGAAGCCCCGCTTCTCAGAGAAACCACAGGATGTGCTAATCACTTCCCCACCTTTACCTATGGCCAAATCTGCATGCAACAGGACATTCCAAACATTGCTTAAGATCAGATATCCTCCGGATGGCTTAGCCAGGATTGATCTGTCCTGGTGCCTAAAATGGACCAATCATTTCAAAAGTTAACTTCCCTATAGTCTGCCCACACTTTTTCCTTTAAAAACCCAAGGCTTTTGTTCTTCGAGGCTGACTCTTGCTTGAATGCATGTCAGCCTCATGCTCGTCAGTTTGAATAAACCTCTTGCTGTTTGCATCAATCAATCTGCCCTCTGAGTCTCCTTCCTGTGCTTTTCTGGTAGTTGGGCTCCCTCCTGCAGAGTCCAACAGGCTCTGTTGGTCTTCTTGTGGAGCTCCTGTCCCCTCTGGGTCCTTCTATCCTTCCCCGCAAGGACTGGGTATTTTTTTTAAGTTTATGTGCTTTGGTTTCTTTTACTAAATGAAATTAATATAAACTGTCTTGTAGAGACACCAGAGCGTTTGCTAAGATGGAACACACATTTACTGATGTCCAGCAGGAAGTAACTGTAGCATGACTAATGTTCTTGCTGTTTGGCACAACCCTGTCAGGGAAGTGTTATTGTCAGGAGTCTCTTATACTGATGAGGAAACTGAGGCAGAGCCACACAGCCATTGCCTCATGAGGGTGGGCCGTCAGACCAACAGTACCATACAGAACAGTGGGCAACACAGCACCCTCTGTTAGCTATCTGGGATTAGAACTTCATCTCCCAAGTGCATGCCAATGGAAAAGAAAGCTTCCAGCTCTCAGTAGACCTCCTAACTAGAATCAGCAGGCTCCCTAGAAGGTCCTACCAGCCTTGTCACATGCTTAGAAGGCTGGTGGCTTACTGGCTTACAAGGCTGAAGAAGGACAGTTATTTCCTTGAGATGCAATATACAGGTATACAGTCAGGCTACACACTGTTGCTTGGCCCGGGATTCACCAAATAAAAAACAATCTTACATCATCCCTCCCCACCTGATAATCAGTGTTAAAAATGTGTGTGCATCTGGGGGTGTGTGCGCGTGTGCACCTGAGTGTATTTCTCTATCCCCAGGGCATTAACACAGAAGGGGAGAATAGGGATATTGATAAATACATGTGACTTTGCTGCTGCTGTTTGTTTTCCTGAGACAGCCTCATGTAGCCCAGTCTGGCCTCAAATCCACTGGGTAGCTGAGGATGATCTTAAACCCCCAATCCTCCTGTGCAGTCCCCATTTCCCAAGTGCAGGGATTCCAGACATGCATCACAACTTTTGAAAAGCAGTAGTAGTTGCCTATTTAGGGACACCCTGCTTCCTGGCTTTCTTTCCCTTCCAAAGATTTACTTACTTCTATATGACTGTCTTGCCTCCATGCATGTAAGTGTACCATGTGTATGTTGTGCCCATGGAGATCATTTTGTGTGTGTGTGTGTGTGTGTGTGTGTGTGTGCTGCAGACGGAACTCAAGCCTTGTGTGTTCCAGGCTAGCACTCTACCATTGAGCTGTAGCCCTGGCCCTTGTGATTCCTTACGCATGCAGCTCATTAGATGCTGGGTGGCAATTCACACAGCTAATAAACTCCCTCCCATGCTTAGTATAGGAATTTAGAAAAAAAAAAAAAAAGCAGCCATGAAGAAAACAAAAGTGACCCGTAGTGTCCCACCTACAGACTCTACGGTGGTTAGAATAAGAATGGACCCCATAGGCTCATATATTTGAATGCTTAGTCATCAGGGAGGGAGTGGAACTGTTTGAAAGGATTAGAAGGATTAGGAGGTGTGGCCTTGTTGAAGGAAGTGTGTCACTGGGAGTGGGCTTTGAGGTTCCAAGTGTCCATGCCAGCACTCCTCCTCCTCCTCTCAACTATTTCTCCAGCACCATGTCTGCCTGAACACTGCCATGCTTCCCTCCATGATGACAATGGACTGAGCCTCCGAAACTGTAAGCCAGCCCTAATTAAATGCTTTCTTTTATAAGAATTGTCTTGGTAGTGGTGTCTCTTCACAGCAATAGAGCAGTGACTAAGACAGGCCCTCAAGGTCAGTGTTTTGGTGAATTTGCTTCTGGTCTTTCTGGAAATCGTACATGGCATGAGCTTTAAAAAAAATTTTTTTTTAAGTTTAAAAATGTGTGCATGTGTGTGTACACTCACACATGTCATGCTATGCCTATGGAGGTCAGAGTACATCTTGTGGAAGTGTTCTCTCACTCCGGGTTCTAGGGACAGGACTCAGGCTGCCAGGCTTGGCCGCAACCACCTGAATCAGCTAAGACATGTTGCGGGCCTCAGTGTAAGCAGTTTAAAGGACTATACTGCGGACAGTTTAGACAGTTTGCGTCTTGCCCTTCCCACGGCAGCCTTCTGTCAGTACCTGTGAATGTTTCAGTTTCTTGCTATTTATTCACTATGTGTGTAGTGGATGCGTGGCATATGTATGTGTGTATGTGGGTGTGTGTGCCTCGTGTATAGGGAGGCCAGAGGTCAGTGTTGGGTGTCTTCTTCAGTCACTCAACTCCTTATTTTTTTTGAGACAAGTCTTTCTCTGAACCTGGAGATCATTGATTTGGGTGGGCTGGGTAGCAAGTGTGCACTATAGATCTACATGCCTCTATAACTTCCAGAACACACGTGAGCGCGTGCGCGCGCGCGCGCACACACACACACACACACACACACACACACACATCCTGTACTGAGGTTACAGTTGTATACGACCAGGCCTGAATTTTTGCGTGGACTCTGAGGTTCTGAACCCTCACGCTGTTGCCACAGGCACATTCCCCACCGACCCATCTCCCCTGCCTTGAATACTCTGTTTCTTACCTGGGTCTATGGCGATTGTGGACTCCAGCTCTCTGATCTTTTGAGCAGCGGAGGCGGACACTATGCTGTAGTGCAAAGGGTCTTTGGAAATGGCGTGGACTTCTGGGACCATCTCGGGAGTCGGACGAACCGCTGGAGACACCGTGTCCTTCGGGATCATCACCAGGAAGCCTGGAGTGCTGGTGAAAGCCAACGGAGCCTCTGCAACACAGGACAGGAGGGGCTCTTGACGTCATACCACCAAGTCCAGCCCACTTCCACCCTGTCCATGGTGGACAGGATTCTCCATGCCATATGCTGGCACCATGGTCAGAGAGAGCTGGCTTATGGCTCGACCAAGCTCTGCTTAAACAATTGCCCCCTCCTTTTGGGAAAATGGAGGGGAGGGCAGCAAAAATGCGAGGTACGCCCACGGCTGCAGCGTGAGCCCTCAGAGATTCTGTCCATCACCACTGTGGGTTATCAGAAAGCACTGCTGAACTCTTCAGTGCACGAACCCACTCACTTTACCTTGTAGCCGATGCTAGACTGGGTACCCTCTGCATATGGAGCTTCTGATTCCTTAGAGCGTTTATATTTTTCTTTAAACACAAAAACCAAAACCTCCCCCCTGCTAGATTACAGAAACAGCCATAAGCGGTACCCTAGCATTCTCCTCAGAAGTGGCTGCAGCCCGGAGGATGCACCCAAGTTTCAGGCGTGACTTTACCCTTTCTAAGCCTATCTGTTATGTTATAAAATGAATGGCCTTGTCTGTATCAGCAGTTGGCAGGAAGTACAGGTGCGCATGCTCAGCCAGGTGCGCATGCTCTGCTCGGGCGCAGCGTACCTCAGCAGTGGTCTGCCTCATCGAGGCAGATGCTGTGCCTTCTCCCTGCCCCTGTGCCCGGCGGCGGGGTGCTCGCATATTGAACTCTCTTCCGTTTGCCTCCTTTGGGCATCACTGTTGTATCTGAGTGCTTTACCTTCACGCAGCTGCGTGCTCCTCACGACGAGGCACCCCTGTTTCTTTACCTCAGGATCCCACAGAACGCCTTGCCCATGATGGGTGTCAAATAAACGTCAGCGTGAGTAAGTGCTATCTTGGATTTCGCAGAAATCGTAACATTTCTTGGATACAGTGGAAAGCCAGAGTCAGCCAACATTCAAGCGGAGCGTCTGCCGACAGATGCGTGAGCTTCGCGTGTGGTCTATGAGAGGGCAACTACTGACAAGGAGGAATGGTTACCCCTGCTTGAAAGCTAGGTACAAATAAGAGCAGGGGGCTCAGGACAGGGCGCAAGGCGTTGCTCCCACCGGTTGTGTGGGGATTCAGGAGTGATCCAACTAATAACTCACAAGGCTAATAACTTACACGCTGGGGTGTGAGAAAGGCCCACTCTTGTCTCTGACCGATGATGGCTTCTCTTCTCCTCCACAAGCCATTTGCTGTGAGAGGTAAGAGGGCTAGGGGGTGCTAGGAGATCCGCTTTCCAGGCACATCCACGGCGGATGGCAGGAGAGCAGCGAGCCTGCTGTGCTGGGGATATTTACTGCCTGTGTTTGGCTGTGTGTACCTGCCCTCCACCCCGCTCCCGTACCTAGAATGGTCACAGGCTCCCGAGGACACAGCAGGCAATTCCTATAGTCTGAGCTCACACCTGGCCTGCCGTAGGTACTCAACGCACAGGCTTTTAAATAAACAGTAGAAACCCATGGATTGTGTAGTCTATGTCTCGTCACTATATCAGGAAGACAGTTTGATAGCCAAACTATCATGAATGCTGTTAAAGTAAAGTAGCACTAAACCTGATTTTTTTTTTTTTTTTGAGACAGGGTTTCCCTGTGTAGCCCTGGCTGTCTTGGACTCCCTTTGTAGACCAGGCTGACCTCAGACTCAGAGATCCACCTGCCTCTGCCTCCCAAGTGCAAGGACTAAAGGCGTGCACCGCCATGCCCGTCCCTTAACCTTTTAAGACTCTTTTTAGTGGAAAGGTGACTGACCTGATCAGAATTTTCCAATGTCTATGACAGGAGACTCTAATAGTTACTATTATCAACATTTTCATTACATTCCTGTTACTGGGAGCCAGGGGGTGCCCTCTTATGTCTGGTTATTGTAACACTACCCTAGCCTCTTTGGGGGGCCGGGTGGAGCTGATGATATTGCTTTTAGTCTTAGTACCCATCCAACTGTTGATTGAAAACATTCAAAAGAAGAATATTTGTGCCTGTGGTGAAGACAAATGGGTTTTCCCCCTTTGTCATCCTCCCTTAAAAAAAATACAATATAATGGGCACAGAGAGATAGCTCAGCAGCTGGAAGTATTTGCTGTTCTTGCAGAGGACTTGGGTTTGGTTCCCAGCACTGCATGGCAGCTCACAACTGCCTGTTTACTTCAGTTGCAAGGGGATCTGATGCCCTCTTCTGGCCTCTGTCTACATAGTGCAGTCAGAGCAGATCCATATACACAAAATGAATCTTCAAAATAGAGCGTAACAGCTATTCACAATGCGCTTCCATTGTATTAGGACTCACAGGCATTCTTGGGATGAGTTAAAGTGTGCGGGAGGGTGGGGGTGAGCTAGATTCCGATACTGAGGGGTCCTGGGACTGCTGAGGAGCAGGTACTGAGAGGCAGCATGAGCTGTGTTTCAACGTCAGCTGTGTTTCTTGGTTTCATCCTTTGGCTTTCAGCCCTGCCAATTTCCAAAAATGTCTCAAAAAGCCAAGCTGAAGGTTGGGTCTTCCATTAGATCAAGCTGTGGAGCTTCAGCAGACAGAAAAAGTGTTGAGTCAAAAGGTTCCTGAGAGCTAAAGGTCAGCTGATTGGTGAGGAGACAGCGTGGGATTAAATGGAGAGAGTGGGAGAGAGACACTGCAGTCTTAATCTATGTCTGTGTTTGTTTCCCAGAGCTGGGGTCAGACACAGGGCTTTGTGCCACACTGGGAAAGTTCTCTGCCATTGAGCTGCATCCCTGACTCGAGGCCTGTGTTCTCTGGGTTTGTTTATTTGTTTGTTTGGTGTTTCGAGACAGAGTTTCGAAACTGTGTAGCCTTGGCTGTCCCAGACTCCCTTTTTAGACCAGGCTGGCCTCAAACTCACAGAGATCTACCTGCCTCTGCCTCCCAGAGTGCTGGGATCACAGGTGTGCACCACCATGCCCGGCTTCTCTGGGTTTATTTTTAAGCTGTTAATCTGTAAACCTGCGCTTTCAAGAACCCCAGGCCCGCTGGGTTACATCTGAGGTCAAGGATGTTGTGCCGCTGTTCCCCAACATACTGCAGTTGACGACTGCTTCCAGACTGGTCAGCTGAGAAGGCCAGAACACTGGGACATCCCCCGGCTGACACTCCACATAACTCCCGTAGTCAGGTTCGGAAAGCGCCTTGATTCCCAAAAGTTCTGCAGATGGAAAGACAACAGCAAAATAAGATTCCTCTGGTTGGTACCGTCCACACGGACACACTGAGTACCTTATGGATCTTTCTTCCAAAGAAACACTGGTTGTAGCATTCATTATATTAGGTGGGAAAGGAGAAAGAAGAGGAGAGACAGGAGGAGAAGGAGGAGGAAGAGGAGGAGGAGGAGGAAGGGGCTGAGGAGGATTAGAGGAGGAGGAGTTGGTAACGATGGCTACGAGTTGGAGTTTTAACAGATCAGGATGTTCTGTAACTTAGGGCTCATGTTGACTGGTACAATCAGGCCTGACTGCAGTGGTTTCTAGAGGGAGTATAGCATTTTTAGCTCGGCACTGGCCTCATAGCACATGGATTCCTAACAAAGCCAGCACTGTGTGTGTGTGTGATCTTGATATAGCTGTAACCTCTGTTACTCCCGTCAGCAGCCCTCGCTCTAGCCAGCAGTCAACAAAGATGGATGCGTCGGGCCCCGTTTATCCCACTAATAAGTCGGCCCTCAGGGTGGCCCCGGGGCTGTGTTGGGTGAGGAAAGCCAAGAGTGCTGATGGTATTCTCATAGAAGGTCAGGCCTTTGAGGATTCTGCAAGTTCAAGTACGTGGATGCTGGCTCTCATCTGGGCCAAGTTTCCTTAGGCCCCCTGGGAGTTCTGAGAAGCCTGGGCAGCATTCAGACTTGGATCTGTCCATTCACTCTCAGGCTAAGTTAATACTCATGGAACAGAGAGGGAGAGAGATGAATGATTGTGACCAGCACTCGTGCCACAGCATGCATGTAGAGGTCAGAGGGCAGCTTGAAACAAAGTCCCACACAATCCCTTATTCCTTTATTCCCCAAATTCAGGGATCATGTGACACTCATAGGCCCTGTGTGTGCATCATAAATTCTCAAGATGAGGGTCGCCAGTCTGGCAAGGCAGTGTCTTAAACCCAAGGACACTGGGTACGGGACCTCTGGGCCTCGCTGCAGGCCCTCATCCTGGAGACTCCCCTAAGAAGAGCACAAGCTCCTGGATGCTTCTCAGGCTCGTGCTGGAACCACAACTTGGGTCGACACTGACCTGGGTCGCCAATGTGGATGGGTTGTCCTTGCTGTCCTCCCACGGAGTGAGTGGCCTGCAGCAGCCTTTCCAGCTTGTCCTTGGGGACGTGTCTCATTGTGACCACCAGAGGGCAGCAGAAGCCAGCAGTGGCGGCACACGGCACTGATGTCTGACAAGTGAAAATGGAAGGGGGGGGAGACAGTAATCAGCTCAGATTCAAGCCCCAGCACTCGGGGTTCAAGAAGCCGCACAGAGCAAGAGGCTCCAGTAGCTGTTGTAGAAAACCCAGATGGGGTACCTGGTTGAGAGTGAGTGACTCAAAATGGTGGTGGTGTGGGGGGGGGGTCCTATTTTTCTTTTCTTTTTTTTTTTTAAATCTGTCAATGTCACTTCAGCAGTCTGACTCATCTTCTAAGCTGGACAGAGTAATGTTTTAATCACATAAAAAAAAAAATCAGGGTGGAATGTGTCTGTAGTCCCAGGACTTGGGAGGCTAAGGCAGGAGGATGGAGAGTTTGAGCCTTGACTCCGGTTATCCTGGGTGACGCAGTGACAGCCTGTCTTAAAGCATAACCACATAGGTGAGACAGCAAAGAGGCGAGGGAAAGAAAAGGGAGGAAAATTAGATGCTGGAAAGGAAACCAGTGCTGTTTCAAATGTTGAGGTGTAGTTACCAGAGCCTGGAAAACAGTATGCTTTCCCATCAACGGCTAAGAGGACAGAACGGCAGATCTACCACCATTGTCGTTTTGAAGTATCGGCCTGTAGGGTGTCTTTGAGAGTCTGAGAACCATACTGTGATAGGATGCTATCTACAAAATACTTTATTGGCCATGACACTACAGCATCTGCTGACACAGCCCTTTGTCACCGACGTTCCAAACTAAAGGAAATGCTGAATTTCAGACACACACACACACACACACACACACACACACACACACACACAGAGAAAGAGAGAGAGAGAGATTCCCCATCCAGTGTCATGAGCCTCTGAATTTTCTCCCTGCACCTCAGGAAGCCTGAGAATTTCTGACAGAGCCAGGAGGAACCTACTCCACTTCCAGGTTCCACAGGGAACGAGTCCCTGGGTGCACCATCCTCCCTCCGTAGTGTCTGCACAGGGCGACCCGGGTGACTTTCACCCGTGGCCCGTTTCTTCTCCCCCTGCAGCAGGCCTTACGACAGGCTCAGAACACAGCCAGAGTCTGATCCACTGGGACAGCCTTGGCTGCCACTTAACTGGCTCGCCGTTACCACCCTGGCAACAGGAGGGTGAGGCTCTGGTGTGCTGCCAGCCTGGCGTCTCTATGACAGCACCTGGGACCAAGTGAAGGCACATGTAGGCCACCTACAAAGCCGGCAGTGCTCCTGGGGACTGGACACTCTGTTCAGGAGGGCCATCTATCCAGGCCATCAGCAGGATTCAAGATGGCTGTCCAGCCATCTTTCTCAGGACCTAAGGGCAATGGGGTGGCATTGCTACAGACAAAGCTGTGTGGTAACCACGATGAGAGGAGGCAGTGAGGTGTCATGGATAATTGACAGGCTGTGGTGAACATCTCCTATGGACATCCGTGCTTCTGTGCAAAGCTTTCTTCAGGCACCACACCAACCAAGGGTGTGGTTCCTGTGGGCTCTGGGACCTGGGCAGGCCCCTATCTCTCACCCTCTAAGTCTTATTTTCTTCTTTTGAAGAGTGGCTATGCCGACATGCCTGAGGCTATCCCAGCTCTCACCTGCTACAAATAATAGTGGGTCCCAGCCAGTGGCCAGGGCTCAGGGCTCTGTCGTCACCCTTCCCTATTGCTTCAGTCCCCTGCACCTGGAAGGGGAGAGTAGAATGTGGACAATATTGTTTCTGACATGATACAATCCAGGCCTCTCTGACGGGAGCCAAAGGTGGGCACTGTAACAAACAGGGCCCAAGATGAACTGTCCAGTCCCTGTGAACAGGGAAACTGGAAGCTCATCCCAGCGAGGCCTGCAGGCCACTCATCTGGCAGAGGGAGCGCCCAGACTTGTCCCAACAGCATCTGGGAAGGAGCTGATGAGGCAAGGACTCTGCTCTTCCTCCACTCGACTGGTTTCAGCAGGAAGAAACGTTCATGGAGCCAGCCAGGGACAGTCCCTAATGGCAGGCGTGCCCCAGGAGAGGCCACCCTTCTGCCTTTGTTTTTTTTTTTTTTTTTTTTTTTTTTTGGGGGGGGGGTTCCTTTTTGCTTTTTCAAGGCAGGGTTTCCCTGTGTAGCCTAAGCTGTCCTGGACTCGCTTTGTAGACCAGGCTGGCCTCCAGCTCACAGCTCCACCTGCCTCTGCCTCCCCGATTGCTGGGATTGAGTGAGTGCACCAGCAGGCCCAGCTTGCTTTCTGCCTTTGCTAGTCTTCGATGTGCGCATTGAAACTAGAGTCGGTGACACCTGTGTGTGTGATTTAGCACTGAGGGGATGGAGAAGAGAGGAACCCTACGGCCCTCTGGCCAGCCAGCCCAGCCTTAATCAGTGACGCCCAGGGAGAGACCTTGTCAGGAGAGAATTTGATTTCCTTAAGTTGTCCTCCAAGCTCCACATGTGCATTGCAAGTCACCCTTCTCCAGATAAATGTCATTTAACAGGAAACAAGGCTTACTGCCTCTGAAGAAGACCAGTTGACCTCTGGACTGGAGACAAGTTTACATACATGCATGTGCACCCACGAGTGAGAGCGAGCACACTCTCTCTCTTCTCTCTCTCTCTCTCTCTCTCTCTCTCTCTCCAAATGGCTTTGACTGACACCTCTCAGCCATAGCAGAGGTGTGTGGGAGAGAGGCTGGCTCACAGGCTAGCGGCTTTACCTGGAGAGTGACTGAGCTGGGGTTGACCATCGGGTTTCTGCTTCCAGTACCAACGTTTTCTCCACCACAGAGAAACACAACTCCGTGCACATTTTCACGCCCAGGGATGGGACCCTACCTTGTATGCTCCTGTGTGGCTGGGGCCTGCTGGGTCTCTTCTGGGAACTCCAGCCCGTTCCAAGGCCTCGTCTATGGGGAGGCTGCAGTCCATGAAGAAGGCCACCATGTCCTTTAGCTGCTCTGAGTACTCTTCGAGTGAGGCCAGGATGCCTGTGCAGGTGCCAAGCTCGTATTTCTGAAACTGTGGACAGGCGGCCCTGGGGGAGCAAAACACCGCTCACAGTGCCCTGGCTCTTAGTATGTCCCCAGGGACATGCCGGGAGGGCATCTCGGGAAATCCCCCTACACCACCGTACTTGGTTTTCACCTAGGGGCTTTGTTGGTGCTGTGACTCACGCCCAAACCGAAGCTGCTGACTCAACATGCGTGCAACACAACCTGTGGGTTGCACCCCATTCCGTGTCCTGAAGCTCAACATGAGATCAGCCAGAACCACGAGAATAAACTGCCGGTGGACTCTCTGCCGTGAAGGCATGCTGGCACCCGGAGGATGGTGGCCTCGAGGAACCTCCAGGAGTTTGCAGGCTAAGGCCTCCTCTCTCCACAGAGGAGCTCTCCCGTGAGGCTGATAACCTCACGGGGTACAGGCCTCATTCCTGCTCATCCCAAGTCATTGGCTGAGTCCTTCCTCCTTTCCAGCCATGTGTCAGGGGATGGGCTCATAGGGACGGCCAAGATATGACCCCACCTTCAGGCACCTGCTACATGGAGCAGCAAGTGTCTGGACTGTGAGAAACACAGGCCAATGAGAAATGCGAAGACTTTTTCTTCTGCTTCTCTCCTTTGGATGTCCAGTGTCCCCAGAAGCCCACGGACTGAATGAATGACCCCAGCCTGTGGTGGCTGTGGCAAGTCTGCACCCTAGGGGGTGGGGACTAGCAAGAGGAAGTTAGGTCATGGGTGGCATCAGAAGAGAATGTGACTTTTTCATCGTCTCTCTGCTTCCTGAGCAGCTCCATGTCCCCCTATGGATGTACAACTTTGCCACAGGCCCAAGAAGTAGCCAGTTGACCCTGGACTGAGAACTCCAAAACAGCAAAGCAAACAAACCTTTCCAGATAGGCAAGGTGGCGTACACCTTTAAAGAGGCATGTGGATCTTTGGGAGTTCGAGGCCAGCCTGGTCTACAAAGTGAGTCCTCGACAGCCAGAGCTACACAGAGAAACCCTGTCTCAGGAAAAACAAAACAAAACAAAAAACAAAAAAACAACCTCCCACCAAACCAAACCAACCCCCCCAAAAAAACCTTTCAATCTTTAGGATGTTTATCTTAGGTATTTTCTCATAGTGTTAGAAAGCTAACAACCCATGAAGGAGGAGGTGTTGGGTTGTGAGGCATAAATAGGAGTTTAAGAGTTGATAAGGAGGAAAGCACAGATAGGTGGAGGTTGCAGAATGTGCTAAGTGTGTAGGCACTGAGTATGGGGACCATGGGAGGTCTGCACCAAGTTGGCAACGCAAGAAGTACCAGCTCAGGCTCTAGTAGCGTTTTTGAGGGGCCCTCTCATCCTCGGGTCTACAGAATGATAATGGGGAGCCTTCTGTCTAGGGAGAGGGCTGGGGGTGGCCTGAGTGTCAGGGGAAGCTGAGCTGGAGCCACCTCACCACTAGTCTTGAGTGGCGCTAAGGCACAGGCCACAGGCAAGCCTTGAAGACTTTTAAATAGTTGGGTCACATGATCAGATGTAGACTTAGAAAAGGTCACTTTTGTGGGTAGAGGGAGGAAAGAAGATGAGGGTTATGGTATCTTATAGTCTAGGTCAGAGAAGATGGGAGCCATAGCTAGTTTGCAAACAAAGCTAGGTCATAGTGGGGAGGTATAGAGGCAGAGTTTCCAGGACCACCCATAAGACTCACCTATTATGTGTGGGAATACATCTAGTATCCCCAGTGGATGCCTGACCTAGCCAGCCCCAATCTATGCATATAGTATTTTCCCCTATATTTTTACACCTGACATTTACTTTATAGATCAGAGGTGCACAGTAACAAAAGTTATTTAAAACATTGAGTTATTTATTCTTGAAGTTTCCCACACAATATTTTTAGACATTGGTCAGTCATCCGTGGGTAACTGAAATGGTGGGGAGTGAACAGGAGCTAAGGGGGATGTCTGCTGTTTAAGAGCCTCAGCAAATGTGCACGGTATGAATGGAATTTTCCTCTGGGGGCTAGTGAGATGGCATTGTTCTTTTCTTCCTAATCCTGTGCAAGGGCTTTTCAGTAGGAATGATAAAGTGACAGGTGGCAGCACCTGTCACGGTTAATGTTAATTGTCAATTTGACACTATCTAGAATCACATGGAAAGAGAATCTCAGGTTGGCCTGTAAGAATGTAAGAATGTCTTTGAAAGGGGCTGGAGAGATGGCTCAGTGGTTAACAGCACTGACTGGTCTTCCAGAGGACCTGAGCTCAATTTCCAGCAACTACGTGGTGGCTCACAACCATCTATAACGGGATCTGATGCTCCTGCAAATAGAGCACTCATATATGTAAATACATCTTTTTAAAAAAATAATCTCTTTGAGAAGTATTGATTAATTGAGGTAGGGAAACCCATCTCCTGTGGGTGGCACCATTCCCTAGGCACGGAGATCCTGAACCATGCAAGAGCAGAGAGAACAAGAGAGCTGAGCAGGTACTGGAATTCATGCATTTCTCTTGAACCAGTACCACATATCTTTAATCTCAGCACTCAGGAGGCAGAGGCAGACATAACTCTATGAGTTCAAGGCCAACCTGGTCTATACCTCTCCTTCCAAGCCAACCAAGGGTACAAAATAAAATCCTATCCCTCAACCCCTGAATTTACCATTCCTTTCCGTTGGCTATGGATATAATGTAACTGGCTGCTTCAAGATCCTGCCACCTTGATTTCCCTAGTAATTATGAACTAAAATAAACCTCTTCTCCCTTAGTTGCTTTTATCAAGATATTTAATCCTGACAATAGGAAATGAAACTAAGACATCACTCATAGGATTTCTCCAGGCCTGTGGCAGATATAGGGCAGGTGTGGGGTTGGAGGAGAAGGTCTGAAGTGGAAAGGTAGAGAGGGCAGCTTGCTCCTGAGCAGTGGTCATGTGAGGCTCTGTGCCAGGACCTCTGTACCCAAGGCTGGATCAAAATGTACCTGGTGACAGAATGCCCCAGACGCAGCATCTTCCCTTGCTTACACCCACTGTAGCCCAGGCTTCTTACCTTATGTCTGGAACAGGGCTCAAGTGAAGCAGCATCTTCCTTGGCTCACTTTGGTGCAGCAGGGGCAGAGGACCACGGTTGGCCTGGCAGAAGCTTTCAAAGGCTGGTGCTAGGGATCTGGGCAGGACCACCACACCAGCCGGTTGGAGCCCTGGGTTGGATGGGAGGTGGGACAAAGGCACGCTTGATTATCGCCTGCAGACCCTTTTCATTCCACTGTTGATGGACATGTTTCAGATGCACACAAACATGTAGCTGAATACACAGTGTAGCTGTATATGGTAGAGGGGCACACCGCTGATCTTAGCAGTCATGAGGCTAAGGCAGGAGATTACAAGGTTGAGGTCAGCCTGGCTACATAGTGAGACCCTGTCTCAATAAACAAACAAAGAGAAAGTTTACAATCTAGTACTTCTCACACAATAAACACACCCACCTAGCAAGCACCCAGACCAAGAGACAGCATGGCCAGCTCCTCAGAGTCAACACCCTTGCTGCTCTATAACTTGTAACCCACACATGACCCATTACTAAACTTCATATAGTGAAACCGTATGCCGTATATTTTTAAAGTTCTAATTCTTTCACTAACGTTGGGGACCCATATCAGTACACTTACTGGTAGTCTGTCCATGTGCTATGGTGTGTGGTGTATTCACAAAATGAGAATTGGCCATCTACTGGGGATGGATTTGGGTTATTACAAATGGCGCCTCCATGAGCATTACAGAGGGTGCATTTGGGGAGTGTTGTATGTGCTCGCCCACTGACATGCACCTGGGCTTACAGTAGAAACACCCAGTCAGCTTTACTGAACTTTCCCCAGCAACTTCCCATTGTAGTTCTACTGACTGGCACAGCCACCCATGGTGGGCATCTCTGGTACTTGGTGCTGTGTATCTTCCTCATTTTTGTGGTCCCGGCAGTTGTGTTGTGGGGTGACACGATGTTGCAATGTGCTGTGCTGGTTGTCTCGCCGAATGACAGAAGCAACTTGAGGGAGGAAGGGCTTACTTTTGGTTGCAGGGGATACAGACATAGTCTCTCCTCTCTTTATAAAACTGGTGAAATTACTCAAAGGACTAGATCTATGTAGTAATCAAGGTTGTCTTCAGTTGGCAAGACTTCAAGGGATGGTGATGCTCTTCTCTACACCTTTCCCAGGGTTACAACACTAAGAGTGTCCTGTTGGGTGGGTCCCCAGAAGTCCATGAGTTGGAACTTTGGTTCCTCCATGTGTCGGTGGGATGTGGAGCCTAACAGGAGGTTATGTGTCATGGCTGCCACCCTCATCAGTAGGTTAATGCCTTCTCACATGAGTTTTCATTCTCATGAAACTGGCTTAATGACCACAAAAGCAGTTGTTTTAAAGCAATGTCACCATTCCTGCTTGCCCTTTGGCATGTAGCTGCTTACCTCCTGCTTTCTACAGCGGATTAAGGCTGTATGAAGCCCCTGCTGGATTCCAGCACCGGACTCTTAGATTCTCTAGTTTCCCAAACCATGAACTAACAGGAACTCATTCTTTTTATAAATTACCTACTATGGTGATTAACCTTGATTATCAACTTGATGGGATTTAGAATCACCATGGACACAAACATCTGGGTATGTGTAGCTAGATTAGCTGAGGTGGAAAGACACCCTAAACACTAGTGCCACTGCCCGTGGGCTGGGGTTCAGGACTAATAAAAAGGGTAAAGTGGGCTGAGCTGCAGCATTCACCTCTCTCTGCTTCCTGACTGCGGATTCCATGCATTCATGTGATCATGCACCTCCTGCTCCTGCAAGCCCTATCTTCCCACAGCGGACTGTGTCACCTGGAACTGTAAGCCAGAACAAACCCTTCCTTCCACAAGCTGCTTCTGCCGGGTATTTTGTCACAGCGATGAGTCAGATAACCAACACACCCAGAATCAGGCATTCTGCTACAACAGACACAGACCATACCGCACACAGAGCTGTGTTCTACTGGAGAAACAGCCCCAGGGGCAATTTTCCTATCTGCCAGATGTGTGCCATCAACTCGCAGGCATTTCTGCTCTACAGGAACACTGTCAGCAGACGTTTCCTGTGTGATTACGGTGCTCCAGGCTGCTCTGTGCTAAGTGATTCGTGAACTCTTTGCCATGGGACTATATCGACTGGGTGAAGCTCCGGGTCTTTGGATGATGGGTTCAAGACTTCCTCGGAGAAAAGGGGTAAAGTAGATGTGGCCACCTTCTGGGTGAACCCCAGGAACAGCAAGTGGTGAGGCAGTGCTTTCACTCATCCTCTCAAAACCCTCGGCCAAGGTCACCCACAGGCTTTACAAGGGGGGGATGCCTCTGATCAGAGGAGGAAGCAGTCACTCTTCTCAGGCAGGCTCAGCCACAGCTACACAACGACCTACACCTGCGGTGAGGTGGAGGCGAAGAAGCCAGCTTAAAAGGCCTCCCTCTGCTTCTTCCCTCCACAGCCTATTGTGAAGACAAATTGGATTTTTAATGCAATAAATCAGGGAGGCATTAGGAATACAAAGCTTCTTTGTTTCCCTTTTAATTAAGTGCACTTTGGGAGCTGAGTTTAGGTTTTCTTCATCTCCACGGAGGGAGCCGAATAGAAAAGTCCTGAGCTGTCCCCATTAGCAGCACAATATGGAATGGATGACTTGAGGTCCCTCTTTAGAGGGCGCTGGGGTGGACCACACTTGTAGGTGCCGGTGCCTCCCAGCCCAGGGTGATTCATGTATCCCTGGGCCTCTTGGGTTCCATTTAAGGTCATGACACTTTCTCTTTGTGGAGAGAAATGGAGTGATTTATTCTGAGTCTTTTAACCAAAAATCAATTTTTTAACAAGAAGACACACAGGAAAAAAATAAAAATCTTTAGTGCTCTCAATCAGATTTAAAGCCTTTAAAATTCAGCTCTAGGCTGGAGTTTCCAGCTTTGGGGCCACGTTCACTCTCCTGATGGATCATTCTACAGCAGTGGTTGGACTGAAAGGACATTAACCCCCCAAGTGGCCTTCCAGAAGGGTCCTGGGGAGGAACCTGTCCCCATTTTCATTTTGAAAACAAGCCTGTAAAGGTGATATGGTTTATCCACAGTGTGCCTCTAGTGAGGAGAAAAGTTGGAAATCACATTCCCACTGTCTACCCTGGAGGCCCAAGGCCTGGGCTACTGAGAACCACAGACTCCTGGAGGTTCCAGAAGGTCAGTATCTGGAGTGAAACTCACATTTGCTGATGGTGTACAAAGGCTTTGATGGACCTTGGGAATTGTTCACACAAGTCCTGCTTCCTGACATTCAAGTACTAACGGACCACCTTCATGGACTCAGGCATTGGCCATGTGCCTTATTTTGGCTGAGAGTGTTATGCCCAAATCTTAACGTCCCCTAAAGACCACCAGGAGCTGGATCACAAATTATGTATGCAAAAGCAAAGAGCTTTATTTGACTTAAGTTCGGTCTCTCCACCATCATCAACACAGTGGATCAGAGAGGAGAGGCCCCAGCAGCTGCACAGTAGGGTTTTTATTGGGGATTGAGGAAGGACTGGGAATTTCTGGTTTACCACAGTTACATGATTGTAACAAGGGCAAGCTTGTTACAAAGTGATTGGCTGACTAACATAACATTGAGTGAGCTACCTGTAGACCTCAGGAATGTTAGGTCAGTGGGCTGCCTAGCACAGATGCCCCACTTTGAGATAAGATACCTTCCAATTCTTGTGGTTGTGTCCACACTATTCCTTGGATAGGGAATTTGATGGTTTTCTTATTCTTGGAATTGGTGACCTATGGCTTAGTTCCTGAGACTGATGACTTTTGGGGGAGGGGGTCAGGCCTGGTCCTTTCAAGAGTAAATGAGTCTGTGGTCTAAGCAGTCTTGAGCCATGGCTTGCACATACACCTTAATGGACTGCTCTGTCTTGGAGTCCTCAGCTGCTGCAGAAAGAAGCTTGGCACCATTTTGGAGAGTGTTCTCATTTGCCTTTCTACTCTTGTGATAAACACTATGAACAACAGTCGCTTGAGGAGGAAAGGGTTTAATTTGGCTTACGCTTCTGGGTCTAAAGACATCATTTAGGGGAAGTCGGGGCAGGACCCCAAGTAAGAACTGAGGCAGAAACTGTGGAGGAATGCTGCTTACTGACTTACCCATGACCTGTCTCCTGCTAGGTTAGCTTTTTTCTACATCTCAGACCCACCTACCTTGGCATGGAGCTGCCCACAGCAGGCTGGGACCTCTTAAGTTAATTAGCAGTCAAGAAAATTCCTCCATAGACACTGCCACAGGCATAGCTGATTGAGGAAATTACTCAATTAAGGTTCCCCCTTCCCAGTTGACTTTCTGCTTTGTCAAGTGGACAATAAAAACTAACCATCGGAGAGAGGCTCCACAGAAAGGAATTTTAGGCTTTCTGGTCCAGTCACCCCAGAAGACATCAGAATATGAGAGGACATCTTGGATGGTCCGGCCGCATGGTGCAAGGACAGGACCTACTCCGCCAAGCCCAGCCTCAGTTGTAGACTTGTGAAAATTATGGTCCAAGCCATTACTCTTTTGGGTGCTTTGTTGTACACTAATAGGCAGCCATTTGCCTGCAAATAACAATAGAGGCCCAACAATAGCAATATGCTAAGTAAGAATGCTTTTACATTATGCATATTAAACACACTGCTGGGTTTTCCTTAGGTGTTTGCATCATAGCCAGAACAGTCTATAGACTTTTTTTTTATGCTAGGGAGAGAGCCCAGGGCCTTGAGCATAGTGGACAAGTTCTCTACCATTGAGCTATATCCCAGTCAGTGACATATCTGGTGTGTGTGTGTGTAGATAGTTGCTAATCAGAGAACAAGACCATCAAAGGGTAAGGAAACTTGGTCTGTATCAAGATCAGCTTAGAAGATGCTATGGCCTGTGGCACTTTCCCCGGAAAAGATGTCCTTCCCTAAACTCCTTTCTTAATTTTATTTTTTGAGATAGGATCTCACTAAATAGTCCAAGCTGGTCTGGAACTCACTATGTAGCCAAGGCTGGCTTCAAACTCTCAGTGATCTTCCTACCTCAGTATCGAAAATACTGGGATTACAAGCATCAACCACCATGCTCTTATGCCCAGTTCATGAGACCCCCCCAAAGACCAGTAGGAATTGACCCGCTGCAAATACTTGAGGGTTTATTAGATACATGCTCGAGCCTGGGTTGCAAGCCTTCCTGTGGAAACAGAAAAGGATGCCGGCCCGTGGTCTAGGGGAACAAGGTTTTTAAAGGAAACACACACACATATACACACACAAGCAGGGAGTTACATGTCTTGGCATTACATGATTGGGTAAGGGAAATTGACTTTTGAAATGATTGGTTTACAGAACTGGAGCCCTAGAGCCCTCCATGAGGTTCTACACCTCAAAGCTAATCCAAACTGGTAGAACATGCAAAGTTAAACAGTGATTAGAGCTAATAGCATGTTGCTCTTTTTATTTTCTGCCAGACAGGGTGTGTGAGTGTTTGTGTGTGTGCGTATGTGTAGATATAAATATATGTTGGTGCACCTGTAATGTCTGTGCTCAGGAGGTAGATTCAAAGGATCAGGAGTTCAAGGTAATCCTCAGCTACATAATGAATACAGACTCAGCCAGGCTAACTATATGTGACCCTGTCTTAATAAAACCAATCAGTCAGATCAAATTCTCAGACAAATGCCTCTTCCCATTTACCTTCAGTCATGCTGGATGTGTTTCTAATGTGTGCTGCCTTTGGTAGACTCCTTAGAGCAGAGGGAAGACAGGACCTTGAAAGAAGTGAGAAAGGCACCATACCATCCCTGAATGGGCTGCCAGGAACCTGTGCAATGGAAGAAGGTGGAGGTTAGACTGAGTAAATGAGGAAATGGCATTTATAATCACAAATGAAATTGCTCCGTTAGCTGTCTCCTATGACTTTTGATGTTTAGATTAGGGTTCTTAGAAGGTAGGAACATGGTGTTTTTTGCTTAGGTAAATGAAGAAATATTACACATTTTAAATATATGTTTTAAGATTACAATTAAAAGTTTAAAACTTGGGCAATCACTCAGTTGGCGAAGGGCTTGCTGGGCAAGCAGGGACCTGAGTTTGGATCTCCAGCACCCATGTGCACCCTGCATGGCAGAGTGCATTTCAAAGCGTATGTCGCACTAGAGAGGTAGAGACAGGAGGAACCCTGGGACTTGCTGGCCAGCCAGTCTCACCAATCAGTGAGCTCCAGGTTCAGCGAGAGACCCTGTCTAGGAAAACAAGGTGGAGAATGATTAAGGAAGATACCCAACCTTGACCTCTAGCCTTGATGCACACAGCCCCACGTGTGTAAATACATATGAACACGTATACCACATAGGGAGTTTAAAAATTATTTCAAAAAATAGAAATGGTCTCAGAGTTGTAGGAAATCATGCCTGTAGAGAAGTCTTGTAAGTTAATTTTGTATGTGGCACTAGTGTTCAGACAGGTTGGCTAACAGCACTGACCTCTGACATCTTTTTATCCAAATAGGCCATGTGCCTGGCATAAGAACACAAAAGCAAGTGTTTATTGAATGACTGGCTGATTACAGAGTGGAGGAAAGCATGGTTTGAGAGCAGTGTTACAGTGAGGAATTTAGATAAGCCTGATTTTTCCACCCCCCCCTTTTCTTTTATCAAAAGAGACTTATTCAATGAGATTCAAAAACCACCAATTTGTGTTTTCAACTTTAGCCAATCTCTTAGGTAGAAAACTATGTAAGCTGCAGGTCTGATTTAAGAAGGATTTGAGCTTGTATAGAATCCCAAACAAACAAACAAAAAAAACCAAAGTGCTCTAGGAAGAAGAGAGATGCATTTAAAACCGACTTGAGTGCTTTGATTTAATAGCTCCTTACAAAGAGGACACAGGGAAGAACAGTTAGTCCTAGCTGGGGTGCAGAGCCCAAGGGGTCAGGTGAGGTTGGATTCCAGGCCCCAGTGGAAGGCAAAGCTGAGTCCTAAGGCAGCTGCTCTGGCAGGTTGAACTAGCGCTTGTCTCCTGGGCTGGCATGCCTGACTCTAGGCCAAGCAGCTAGTCAGCAGCTGAGGTCCTATATGTCTGTGGTTCCCAGAGTCACCACAGGAGACTTAGAACCTCCATCTGGAGCTCAGTTAAGGCCAGAGACAGAACTATTCTGTAGCCACATGGGACAGGAACCATCCTCTATGTGTAGCTGGAGGATGAAAGACTACAAAACCCCACTGAAGCAAGACATCTACACCTAACAGCAAGCGGAAGCTGAGTTAGAAACAGCTTCAGTCCATCTCCTGGGGGATGTTGCCTTCCTTCCTTTATTTATCTAATGTGTTACTAGAAATGTAAGTGGATAAACTGGATGGTGGTGGTGCACACCTTTAATGCCAGCACTCTGGAGGCAGAGGCAGAGGTGGAAGCAGATAGATCTCTGTAAGTTTGAGGCCAGCCTGGTCTACAGAGTGAGTTTGAGGACAGCCAAGGCTAAACTCTAAAACCGTGTCTTGAAAAATAAAAAAAAAGGAAAAAAAGAAAAGAAAAGAAATATAAGTGACATAAGTGGATCCTTGATTAATCTCCCAACCTAGAAATGAACATGGGTAGGTGGAAACCTGTCTTGATAAATGCATGCTGCGGGACTGCCATGTGCATGTTCAGCAGGAAGGAAAAAAGTAGTGTCCTATCTAGCATCTAACTTTCTATCTTAAGGGTTATTCCCTGAACAGAGGTCAAACGGCCAAAGACTGTCCATTCACAACAAGTGACGGCTCCTGCCACAATCTCTGGGCACCCAGAATGTGCCAGGCACCATCTATTGGCTATTTACAGTAGCCCCCCACAAGGCACTGTTAGGCTCTTTGTAGAGAAGAAAACAGAGGCTAAGGGAGGTCCAAGAAGTTGCATAAAGTCCCATAATCAGTGGGTAGAGACCAAACCCAAACCTGATTTAAGTCTATGAGTGATTGGCAACTACTTAGCCACATCTATGTGTTTACTTATCTGTGTAGCCATTCATACAGCCATCCAACATCCACCATCATCCATCCATCCACTTATCCACCCATCATTCATCCACTCCTCCATCCATCGTCTATCTATCCTTTATCCTTCTATCATCAATCCACTTATCCATCTATCATCCATCCATTAATGGTACTAAGAATTAGTTCACCTTAGTAATAGCACAGACCATTCCTTATTAATCACAATATGATGGTAGGGCCAGAACCACGTTTCTTCAAGGACTGAATATTGAACTCCTTTTCCATCATAACCTCTGGTGAACCCACTGCTGTCTGGCTTAGGTGTCTCCTTCCTCAATATCTTCCTCTAGAAGTGAGAGGAGACAAGATCCAAATGGTGAGTGGAGCTGAGTTCCAAGAAGCCACTTTCCCATCAAGAACTTTCTTTTCTTTTTAGAGAAGAACAAACTATCAAATCCATAAATATTATTCTCTAGTATCAAAGATTGCCATAATGGGCCCACAAGCAATTGTCCTCAGCAGGATCTAACATAGCCAAACTCTGGAGTAAAAATATCTGGTCCACCCCTATGATAGATGATTGAAATTCCACCTTCACAGAGCCACTCCTTTACTTTATTCAAGCAATTCAATTCTATGAATGCACCCTAAGATATTTTCAAATAGCAAATAAAATCCCAGAGTACATGGCAGTGCTGTTTGTCATATAAATAATTTACAGCTAAGTAGAAGCTAATTGAGCGCATCCAGGATTTGGTTATATTAATGATTACATGTATGATATTTGTGTTAGTCTTTTTGCTACTATAACAAAATACCCAAAGCTGAGAAGTTTATTTAAATATATATTTGTGCTCTCTCAAACACGCACAAGGATTGAACTCAGATTGTTGGGCATGGCAGCAAGCATCTTTAGCTACTGAGCCATCTCTCCAGTACTAAAATAAAGATACCACAGGTATCTTTTTGTGCCTCATCTAAAACAATTTCTCCAGCATATGAAGAAAACAAGGCTAGGGATTCTCTATGTACAAGCACACATATTCAAATCCATACAGACTAACTCTGGAAAGGTAGACATGGAGGTGATGGAGAAAAGGGATTCCTACATGTGGAGAGAGTGACTTGTGTTTCCATGCATTGCTAGGTCTGTCCTGGCCTCCATCCATCTTAAGCCTGCCCTCCTCAGCCAACTCCAGGGAACCAGAGTCACTCAGGAGTGCTTCATTACTCATCCAAAAGTTTCACACTCCACCAGAAATCCAGATCTTCTCTTACTCTGTCCTCTTACCCCTATACTGGCTGAGATAGTTCCACTGTTCTCTTGGAGAACATTCCCCTCCTCTCTCTCTGTGCTAGTTGAGGGGTGCTGGGAGCACTGAGAAAAGGAACCAAGGAAGTGACCGTCTTAGTGTTCAGTTGCTGTGAAGAGACCCTATGAGCATGGCAACTCTTATAAAAGAAAGAATTTAATTGAAGCTTACTTATGGTTTCAGAGTTCAGTCCATTTTTATCATGGCTGGGAGCATGGTGGCATGCAGGCAGACATGGTATTAGAGAAGTAGCTGAGAGTTCTACACCCTATCCCCAGGCAGCAGAAAGAGAGAGACTCTTGGCTTGGACTGAGCTTTTAAAATCTCAAAGCCTACTCCCAGTGACACACTTCCTCTAACAATGCCACACTTCCTAATCCTTTCTAATAGTGCCACTCCCTGGTAACAAAATATTCAGATCTATGAGCCTATGGGTGCTATTCTTGTTCAAACCACTACAGTGACCTAGAGTGTGCTCTGAAGTGGAGTGGGATGACCTGATCCTAAATTCTTTCTCATAAACTATCTACATGATATACTTATACAAATTATACCAGTGTTCAAGCATAGTACACCTACCCATCCATCTACTCATCCATCCATCAATGTATCTATCCATACACTCATTTGTCCTCTTATCTGTCCTTTATCCATCCATTCATCCACTCACTCATCCATCTATCCATTTATCCACTCATCCATCCATCCTCCAACCATCCATCAATCCATCCAGACATGCATGTATGAAGTATCATGGTGAAAGTACAAACTGAGGGCAAGTTGGATTCTCAACCTAGCTATACACTTACGGGGGAAATCACTGACATCTTTATGTCTTGTTTTCTCATCAGTGCATTGAGATTACAAATACTATGAACCTCAGTAGCTGTGCTCAGACCTGAGGAGTTAGAACATGTGAAGTTCTTCACTTCCTAGGTTAGCTTCCATTTAGCCCTGCAGAAATATTGCCTTCATTTGTTACTCTATGTTCAGTGAGCTGGAGACACTGTGGTAATACGACAGCCACAGCCCACGCCCATAGGGATTTACCAGCCCAAGAGACAGACATTAAACACATAATTATCATGATGCCTGTCTCCTGTGGAGAGGAAAAAAGTAAACAGTTAGCTGCAATATAATGTGCTTAGCATTCCTAGGCTACATGGACTAGGGCTAGAAAGGGCCTTAAGTCCAAAAGAATGAGTAGGGGGTTTCTTGAGTAAAAGTGAAAGGCCTTTTTAGCCCGTGGACAGAAGGATCGGTAGTAGGGAAGCTCATGGAGAGACCCAATATTCTGTGCATCTGGAAGTGACACAGGTAGGGAGTGGCAAGAGCAGGGGCACCAGGAACAGTACCCACTCTGTGTCTCCTGTCAAGGGGGATGGGTATGGAAAGCATCATTCACTAGGAGCCCTGAGATAAGGCAGGAGAGAGGCCATGGGGCTGCAAAGCCCAAGGCAGCATGTGCCTCACAGAGAAGAAACCAGTGGTTCACAGAGGTCAAGGACTATAATGTGCAGCAAGCCTTCACTGGGACACAGCATGCTATTTTTCCATTCTACTCCACCACGCTCTGTCAGAACAAACACAGGATACCCTTGTATCGATATAGGACTCTGTCTGGGACCTTGAGGGACACACAGAAGCTAGAAGATACAGTCCAAAGACAGTCCATTTCCTGGATGCTCCTAGTTTAGCCTAGAGACTTGTTTACAAGAACTAAAATTTTGCTGTGTTACAAAACTCCAATTCTGGTTTCCATAGCTGTCCTCTGGATCAGTTCCCCAGTGGCCCTCCATGTGATAACGGAAGAACAGAATGAGTAGGTGTTTAGACCTTGTCTCTACTCATTAATTTCTGTGGTGGGAGTTGCTCAGTGTTTGCCAAGACAGTTTCTGGTGGTAGCCTAAATACAACTGCAAATTTGCAAAATAAATGTTGCTGTAAGGAAGAAGGCATCCTAACTGTACAAACATTTCATTAAAAATGTCATGACAATAACAGAGACAAAAGATCGGGGAAATGCTGGCAGTCATTAGCATTTGTTTATTTAACAGGTCATATGTGAGTGCTCCCAATATGAAAAGAATTGTTAACAAACAAATATTTTCCATCAAGACAAATAGTGGCTCCTTCACTTTCCCTTTGATAAAAGATTCAGTCCTGAAGCCTTTAGGTAAAACAGAGAGAGAGGTAGGAGCCAAAGGTTAGGGGTTGAGGACAAGACGTCATGGTGTGTCAGAGGGTGTCAGAGCCTAAGTTTGTCAACTTTAGAGGGTAACGTGTTTTCACCTTGTTGCTTGTGATAAAATATTCTGACAAGAAGCAACTTAAAGGGAAACAAGGGCGTACTTGTCTGCTTGCTGTTAGGAAGAAGACATTCTAACTGTACAAACATTTCATTAACTATGTCATGACAATATCAGAGACAAAAGATCAGGGAAATGCTGGCAGTCATAATTAGCATTTGTTTGCTTAACAGTCTAAGGAAGATGTCTCAGCTCCACAGGGGCGAGACTACATCCCTGTGGTGGCGGTAGCAGGGTGCTAGGCAGACCTGGCCTGCAGGGATGAAGGTCCAAGCAGACCGAGTGGGTAGCTATGTGGAGAAGGAGGTGGGTAGCTATGTGACAAGGGGGAAGTTTTGGTTATATCTGAAAAGTCAACATGATGCCTTATTTCTCTCAGTGCCCCAGGGACTTATAACGTGGGAAAGAAAACACTGTAACAAACCCTGGAGTTTCTGAATCCCAATGGTATGTGTCCCTATGAGTAGTGGTTCTCATTGCCTGGCGTTAGCTGTTGGTTTTATGACAGGGACTCATTTCTGTAGCTCTGACTAGCTTGGAACTCACTAGATAGAACAAAATGGCCTCGAGCCCACAGAGATCTCCCTGCCTCTGCCTTTCAAATGCTGAGGTTAGAATAGTGCTCGGCAGAACTAGATTTTAAAGAATGTAGGTGTGGAGAGAGAGAGAAAGAGAGAATATGAATGTATCCCCTAACTATGCCTGGAAGCAAGCAGCACCTCAGGAGGAATGAGTACTCCTAACTATGCCTGGATTTTGGAGTTAGAATATCTTTTACTGTTAAATAAATCGAGATTCCTTGGGAGGAATTCATGCTGAGAAAGACTGATCTATTCTAGAGGACCCAGGTTCAATGTCCAGCACTCGCATGGTGTTTTACAAGTTTTTAATTCCAGTTCCCAGAGGCTCTGACCCCATTTTCTGGCTTCCACAGGCACCAGGGACACAGGTGGTACATAAACATAAGACAAAATAGGTGTTGGATGACACGAGTCTATACATATAACAATGGCAGAATGGGAATTTTAGTCGATGTATGTTTTATTTATAATGGTTAGCTGTTGTTCCCATTCTGCTTTACATCCCTTAATGGTGCGATCAGTGCTGTGGCCTGAGAGGGAAAGTGAGGCAGGAACCCCCAGGGGCGATGAAACCTCAGGTTGCTGTGAGTGCAAGGAGAACAGACTCTTGGGGTGCAGGCTTCGTTGAGCAGCTCATTTAATTGTGGGGGAACAAAGGTTAATTAAACTTTTGGGGAGCGGGTGTGGGCTTTTGAGGCATTTGTACACCGTTGGCGGGGGCTAAGGTGCTGGGAATGCTTTCTTTGCACAAAGAGCAATTCCAGGTGTTTGCTGGACATGACCTTAGAAGGAGAGAGGAAGTTTAACCTGGCTGCCAGGCTACGTGACCAAGGGTGGCAGAGGTTGGCGTCGCAAGGCTACGTGAGCCAGGACACACAGGCCCAGAAGAGTCCTACAACAGTCCTACTCCCGCCAGTCTTAAGATGAGATTTTCAGGGTCTGGACAGGCCTCAAGCTCACTCTTGCTCCAACCCCAGGTGTATGGCTCCTCAGCCCCACAATTAGTGTTGTCAGCTTGACAGAATCTAGAATCATCCCTGAGACGAGCCTCTGGGTGCACGTGTTGGGGGCTATCTAGATTAAGGCTAGCTCCCGAGAATGTCTGCATCTCGACTGTGTTAACTGATATGGAGAAACTCATTT